AATGGGAATGTCAGAAGCCCATTTCTTTCTTTCTTCCTTTTTTTTTTTTAAGAGAAGAGTGGGTTTTTGTTAAATGTTTATTTATTTTGGAGAGAGAGAGAGAGAAAGGGGGGGGGGAGCTTGCGTGTGCATGAGCTGGGAGGGGCAGAGAGAGAGAGAGAAAGAGAGAGAGAGAGAGAGAGAGAGAGAGAGACAATCCCAAGCAGGCTCCAGGCTGTCAACGCAGAGCCCCACATGGAGCTCGATCCCACAACTGTGAGATCATGACCTGAGCTAACATCAAGAGTCAGATGCTCAAACGACTTAGCCACCCAGACGTACCCCAAAAGCCCATTTCTGAGGGAGGACCAATAACTGGTTGCTATAGGCCAGGTCCTCCTGTGGCCTAAGGAAGAGTAGTCACCCTCCTTGTTCTTCCAAAACTCTAGCTTTATGGATACTGAACAATGCCTGTATTTCCCCAACTAGCCTTCAATTAAATCTTCATCACCTAAGGAAACCTGGGCACGTCCTCTCCTGATGGCTGGGGAGTAGCAGTAGGGAAACTTAGAAACCAATAGCCCCTCACATAGAGAGCCAGGGAAACTGAAAAAATAGTGGACATAATCTCTCTAACTCAGTACTTTCAGGAATGAGGACAAGATAAGACAAAGAATATACAAGCCAGAGTTGTCTGTAAGATTTTGAAAAAGGTTCTGTACTGATTGAACATTTAATTTGAAATCATGTGTGGGTGATTTCTAAAAACCATACCAAGTAAAAAGGGAGGCTATGGAGCAGAAGCTAACACTGTCTGTGTGACCTTGGGCAACACAGTTGTTCTTTATCTTCCTCATCTATTAAATGAAAGGTTAGACTTTAAAAGGTATCTTAAGTTCCTTTCCGTGTTTCTACAACCCAAGTTCAGATTCAACTTCTAGCTCAAGGTTCCTTTCACTATACCATGCTAATGAAGATTAATTAAAATTAAAGCCCTTTAAGCTAGAAAATTCAGAAAGGCCTCCTTTACCTTTAAAAATTAGCTATTAAATGGATCTTCATGAAAAGCAAATCTCTGCTTTTGGTGACCCTCTTCCCTCCCCAAATAGGTGCTTCAAAACAGTGGTTCTGGACCTATCCAAGAGCCAATTGTTTTCCAAACCTGAATGAAAATCCAGAGTGAGGCTGATTTTTATCCTGTGCAATGAGACTGCAGTATCAATGGAATGCAAATGTCCTATCCAAACAGAGTGACATTTTATTTTCATTTATTGCTGGCTTACTCTTCTTTCAGGGTCATCCTCTATTTTTCTTTTCTCTTTTTGGAAGGAGGGCAGGTTGGTGGGTTACCCAGGCTTTCAATATAAAATGAAACCTAGTAATTGTCACCTCTGGGCACAGAGACATCACCTGACATAATACTTCCTACGCTTCACTGGGGCAAGTTCTGTTGAATCAAACTTGAATGGAGTGACACCGTGTAATATGCTCCAATATAGTGTAGCTAATGCCAGCATGGAGAAGTGCAAACTGGCTCCTGAGACCTGCTACAGGTACATGAAAAATTCCAAGGAGAACAAAAGTGAAAAAAAAGTTCCAAAACTGACAAAAGTGACAAGGAGAACAAAAGTGACAAAAGTATGCCACATTTTTATTTCACGAAGATGGAAGGTGCCACAGCAGGATATTCGTCTTTGGGAAAAGTGAATAAAACATCATCTGAGTCACCAATTTAAAGACATTTTGCTTTAAAAATATAAACTTGATTCTATGAGTTCTATTATAGATTATACTTTACAGTTTGTTCTGCAATCTTAACTACACAAAATTTTTAAAAAATATTTCGAACTCTTTTATTCCACTGACTAAAATAACTGTTGTTAATACTGGATTAGGATGATATTATAAAATTGAACTTCTGCATGTATGTGGAGGTAAAAGATGAGGCCCATTTCGGCAGCAGGGCCTAGTGGGAAGCAACACAGGTTCTGGAGTCAGATAACCTAGCTTCAAATTCTGACTTTACCAATCAGTTGTTATGTGAGCCATATAACACATCAACCATTCTAAACCCTAGTTTCCACATGCAAAATGGGAATATTGATAGTATTCTACTTAAAACCACTGTGGTAAGCCTTCATTAGACAATGTATATAAAGCATTTAGGACAATATGTGGCATTTAAGTAAACAGTTAACAAGTATTAGTGATTACTATCTAATAACAATTCCTATTAACTGCTGGGAGTTAAATACTTAACAATTGAAACTAGTTTTCAATCTTCAAATATGCCCCCCCCCAAAAAAAAACCCTTAATCATACTAATTAGAATATAATTTAAAATATAGTATGCACAGGTATTGGGACAGCTGCCTGTTCTGTCCCGGAAACATTTACCCACATGCAACTCGTGTACTGGCTCCTTTCACTTTCCTGTGTGACACTGAGATGACAGCAGAGAAATGAAATACAGTACTGTGTTGTATGGTGAAGAATTATATCACCTGGCTGTGGATCTAACTGTCCATTCTTATTCATTTGCATCCTATTTCTTTTTAGACTCAGGCTCATTTCTTCAAGCCTTCAGGCTATAGGCCGTGTTAATTTGCAAGCAGTCCAGAAACCCGTCCTTCACACTGGCAAATACAATACAGCCCCATTCTCAGGCTCTAGCTTTGAGTATCCACATCCCCCTTGTGGTCATGGAAAATATTTGCCAGGCTCTTGGGGAAACCACCAGGAACCTCAATCATCCACAGTAACATTGTCTCAGACACTCTAAAGATAACACCATTTGATTCCAGGATTCTTTTGATTAATATTTTGTGAACTTTAGAAATATACAACAACAACAACAACAACAACAAACTCTTAAGAGAACCAGTTGATAAAAGAAGGAAGAGAGGAGACTATAGTTACTCCAATTATTGCACTTGAAGGCTTCCCTCCCCGACGTACACAACACAAAGATGCAAAATTATCAATTACTACTTTGTTTCAATGTTTAATACCATTCCTCCTTCCCCTCTACTGATGTGGGGAACAAAACCAGAAAGAAATGTAGATAAAATTAAGTTTCCTTCTAACCCGCAGCTCACCGGCAAATATTTGCAACAGACAGAATATGACATTCCTCCAGGAACTCCCAACTGTCTTAATGTTAATGGTTTACTAGAGAGAAAAGCAATCTTAGCTTGACGATAGCTGGGCCTCCAGGATCCTGTGAATCTTTAGCACACAAAAATCCTTTTGGAAACTTCCCCGGTCTTTGCTTTCCCCAACTCCCAAGTATATCATCAGTCACCCTTCACAACACCAGTGCAGCTCTTTCTGCCCACAAGTCCTGTCCCTGTGCTTTGATAAAACCTTTATGCACCGAAAACATCTCAATAACTCTCTCTTGGGCGTTGGCTCCAAACCCCAGCATTTTCCACATCATCTACATTCTTTTCCATCAGTATATTGTTTTAGAATACAAATCCCTACCAACAGGGGTCAAAAGTCTACCTCTCAGGGAATTAAAAAAACCAAAGAAATGAGAGTATTAAGCAGACTAGTAACAATTAAAAAATAATAGTTAAGACTTAGATAAGAGTGTGACTTTTATTACAATGTTTCGTCTGTTATAACCAATGTTATGTTTGCCTTTTCTGTTTCTCACTCCCACTTCCATCCTCCTCACAATGTACACTCTTTAGTTATCTTCTTTCTCTCCCAAACTTCCCCCGACATTTCCTTCACAATTCCTCACACAGCTGTGATAGCCTAAGAGGAACGCACCTCCTTCGAAATAGGACTTAAAAGCCAAGTTGCTTCATCTTCAAAACCAAGGACACTGTCAACTCATTAGTGAATTCACGTTTTGCTTTCACTATATTTCCACCACTTAAAACAGTGTTTGACACATGGTAGGCACTCCAGTACCTGTTTGTTTCATCAGACTCCTACCTCTTTGCAAAACTGAAACTGATCACGGTGCAGTGGCCACTGACATCTCGTTACAGAGCCCACAGTTTCTGTTCCTGGAAACCAGCAGGTTTGAGACGGGATTGAGGAGCTTCAGTGAGGCCTAGCACAGCAGAGGCGGCGAGGGGAGGGCGGGACGGGGGCGCAGGCAAAGAACCTAAGGTCAAGTATTTTTTTTTATTTTGAGGGTCTGAACGATAATTAGCTCAATTCAACCCAATTCTCTGAACGAAAGGCTGCGTTAGTAGCTCAAAATCAAAGATCCCCGTGGTAAACGGCATGAATTTGAGATCTGCACATCCAGGTGTAGTTCAAATGACGGCCAACAGGTAACCAAAAGACGAACAACAGACGGAGCAGACCAACAAATCTGCTCTGAGCCACAGATTTTCAATGAACAAACGCCCAGGATAAGATGGCGCCATTACTCAAAAAATTAGAGTGCGGAAAACGACCACCCTAGCGGATGTTGCACGCGCCCGCGCTCGCCCCGGGATACAATCTGAGCCGAACTCACGTGCGCTGAAGCATCCAATGAGTGCTGTAGTACCTCGGTTTCCACCACGCCCTGCGCACATGCGCCTTAGGCGTGCGGCAGGATGCTGGCTGCGCAGGCGCAGCAGGCTCCTCCTCTCACGCAACTGACGCAAGGCCTCTGTAATCGGTTCGCAATTTATCCGTGTGACCTTGAGTCTTTCCTGTTTTCGAGGACCGGGGCTGCCCAAAGTGCTGCCTTTAAACCTCTCTTAGCTCTCTCGCCACTTACTGAGCCCAGACCTGCTGCAGCCGGAACGAAAGGTCATGCTTTTTCCAACCATCCTGCTGCGATGCGTATTAGCCATGTGCTCTAACTCAGGGAGCAGGGGTCCCATACTCTCTGGTCAGGCAACCCGGGCGACGCTTCAGCGGAAGAGTGGTCCTCCAGGCGTCAGCAACTAGCCCCCACCCCCCACCCCACGTGGTTGGAGGTTTCCAGAAGCGCTACCACTACTGCGCCGCGCTGCTCCGGCCGTCCGAGCGCGTTTGCTGCTTCGTACTTCCACCGTCTAGCCGCCATGATAAGTGCCAGCCGGGCCGCAGCAGCTCGTCTCGTCGGCGCCGCGGTCTCCCGGGGCCCCACAGCCGCCCGCCACAAGGTGAGGGACTGCTGGGCCTCCTCCGGGGGGGCTCACGGCCTTGACCTGCTACGGCAGGCCTAGCCGTTCGGGGACAGAATTGTGCAGCAGAGATCAGGATGGGGAGAAGGTAACTGGCCTTGAGTAATCTCTGTTACGGATTCAGGACCTAACTCAGGGTTTTCTCCTTCCATGTCTCGGGCTCTGCTGAGTCACACCTCTTGCGAGAGAATAGTTTTATTCTAGGAAGTAACGGGTAGTGGTCCTGACGGCCCGTTCACTTGCTGATTGGACGGGTTTGGCCTTTGGGGCGAGGGACGCAATTTTAGTTGGGAGGGAACCGATATTTTAGCCATTACTTACATATACAAGTCGAAGGACGAGTGTTCGCCTCCTCTAAAATACAGCGTGTGCAAGGACCCCGTTATCATGAAAAGGAGGATGAAAAGCCATCTCAGTAAATCAGAAGTTACGTGCAGATTTTCTTGCTTAGGAACATTTGTATGTAGTTCTCTAAGAGTCTTTGGCGTATGGTTGGTTGTACTATTTGTTATTTCCACGTACCAACAATGGAGTGGTTGCTCATTATCCAAACATATCTTTGGAGAGCGGGAACTGTGTCTCTGCACTCAGCATGGGGTTAAAAAGAAGACTTGGAAGTATCCTGAGATTAGATTTGATCCTGGTTGAAGGCAACTTCTGAATTTTTTTCTCTAAACTGACTGTCCAAGATTGCCAGTCCTAGTCCCCTTAAATCATTTGCTTGGCAAACTCTGGAAATGTTTCTGAATGGTTTAAATCTGGAGCTACAGTACACACCTACGTGGGGCTTTGGTACCTGTATACTGCTGCTGACAGTGAACTTAAGAAATATCTGAATAGTGTTTTGTACTGGTGATTCTCAACCAGGAACAGTTTTGCCTCCTGAGGGTATATTTGGTAATATCTGGAGATAATTTGTTACACCTTGGGGAACCTCCTGGCTTCTAGCAGGAGAGGCACAGGACGCTGCTAAAAGTCCTACAGTAAACAGAACAGTGCCCCCACAACAGATTTGGTTCAGAAATCCATAGGGCCAAGGTTGAGGAACCCTGTTACAATGTAATTCAAGACAATTTTATGTGTACTTTTTTCTCCTGGGTCCTTTGGAAATTTCATACTTGATTAAATTTGTTTGGTGTTTAAGTGGCACAGTATCTTTTATACGTAAGATCTTGTTTTACATATACCGTTACCAGAATGAAACTTCATATTCTTCAGAAGAATAATGGGAACAGGCTCTGGTTTTCATGTTGGTTGATTTTTTTTTTTTTTTTTTTTTTTTTTTTTTTTTTTTTTTTTTTTTTAGGATGGCTGGAATGGCCTTAGTCATGAGGCTTTTAGAATTGTTTCAAGGCGGGACTATGCGTAAGTCTAACTTCATTTTTCTGTAACAGATAATAAATGTTAAACCGTACAGTGATGGTCTCTAAATTTGTGATTAACTCTTACACTGAGAAAAAAGTGATGTTTCTGCTTTAATTTATAGATTCTGTAGTGTGCCGTGCTCACTTCGGCAGCACATACACTAAAATTGGAATGATTCTGTAGTATGCCATTATTCCCACAATATCAAGTATTATTTATTTTTGCAACCATTCTGGAAACCACTCTTATGGTAAAAATAACCATAGCATTATTTTATATGTGTTGCAGATCAGAAGCAATCAAGGGAGCAGTTGTTGGTATTGATTTGGGCACTACCAACTCTTGTGTGGCAGTTATGGAAGGTAAACAAGCAAAGGTGAGCACTATTGGAAGTTCTGGATCGTATATTAGTAGGCAGTAGTCTATCTGGCTTTCTCTGCCCTGTGGCTTAGATAAGGGGTATTTTAAAAGCTGCATTTAAGTTCTTATGATTGTTTTGAGGTGAACTTTTATGCTTACTTGCAATGTGCTGTAAAGTGAATGGATTTGACTTATCAGGATTTAAATGTGTCCTAGTATAAAGACTATTAAGTTACTATTAGCACCAATTGCTATGACTTGTGTTGTTGATTATTTCTGTAATCAGAGTCCTACATTTCTGTAAGTCAGTTGAACCATGGTTAGAGGTACAGGAAGAGTCTAGAAGCAAGTGAAGCTCCACATAACACATAGGCTGCATCTTAGAAGCTCTTGCTATGGTAGAGGTTGTTCCCCTGAAGGACCTCCTTAGTTCACAAAACAGTTTATTCCCACTGGGTTCTTCTCAAGATTTAGAGTTGGGATTTCTGAATGGTTTCTTGGCAGTTTCTTTTACCTATGCATGAAACTTGTAACCAGCACAAAAAAATTTAGAAGTAGATTTAATTCCCCCATATGGAAAGAAGGATGATCTGGTTTCAATATCTTAGTATGAAAGGTGTGATTTATATTATCTTTCCATTTTTTTGTTTTTAGTTGTAACTTGTTTCAAAGTGAAGGACTAAAAATACTTTAAACATCTACATCTGTCTCCAGTAGTAGGTACTTGCTATATCAGCATTCACAGAGCAGAAAAGCATGGTTATTAGTGCTGTACTTGAATGTTTGTTTTGTGATTTGGCAGCAGTTTTGTGTCTTTAAATGATAAAAAAAAAAAAAAATGGTGACTAGAACCTCATTCTTTGTCTGTCTTTGGGAGTTTTAGGTGCTAGAGAATGCTGAAGGTGCCAGAACCACCCCTTCAGTTGTGGCCTTTACAGCAGATGGTGAGCGACTTGTTGGCATGCCAGCCAAGCGACAGGCTGTCACCAACCCAAACAACACATTCTATGCCACCAAGCGTCTCATTGGCCGGCGATATGATGACCCTGAAGTACAGAAAGACATGTAAGTAATAGGAAAAGCATAGTTATTTCCAGAGGTCACACATAGAAATGGTTTCAGCAAAATCCTTGGAGCATCTGACCTTAGTAATTGTACATATTGTCCCTAGAGGCGTGTCCTACCCTACTGAAAGGATACCTCCTTCAAAAACATTAGCTTCTGCCTTCACTTATTAGGTCTTTTCCATGTATTGATGTGACACGAAGATTTGGCTAGTCATTTTTGGACCATGTAAATTGGTGTTAAATTCATAAGGCCACATCATGTGCCAATCAGCTGTTTTCAGAGTCTTTCCGTGCTAAGACACCTATCCCTGCTTTATTCCTTTTTATGGCTATCAACTTGTATGAACATACAGTTGATCCTTGAACAACACAGGAGATAGTGGTGCCAACCTCTTATGCAGTTGAACATCTGTGTATAACTTCTGACTTCCCAGAAACTTAGCGACTAAAAGCCTACTGTTGACCAGAGCCTTACTGATGACATAAGGAGTTAATTAACACTCATTTTGTGTGTTGTGTATGTTATATATCATATTACAACAAAGTACATTAGAGAAAAATCATAAGGAAGAGGAAATATGTTTATAATACTTTATATAGATTCAAAAATATCCACATATAAGTGGACTGGTGGAGTTAGAACCTCTGTTAAGGGTCAGTTGTATACAGCATTTTGTTTGTCAGTTAATGAGCATTTGAGAGCTATTTTTTTTTTTTTTTCAACTTTTTAAATTTATTTTTGGGACAGAGAGAGACAGAGCATGAACGGGGGAGGGGCAGAGAGAGAGGGAGACACAGAATCGGAAACAGGCTCCAGGCTCCGAGCCATCAGCCCAGAGCCTGATGCGGGGCTCGAACTCCCGGACCGCGAGATCGTGACCTGGCTGAAGTCGGAGGCTCAACCGACTGCGCCACCCAGGCGCCCCTTGAGGGCTATTAAGAATACTACCATAGGGGTAACCAGCTGACTCAGAAGAGCCTGCAACTCTTGATCTTGGTATTGTGGGTTCAAGCTCTATCTTGGGTGTGGAGATTACTGAAAAGAATGAATAAACTTAATACTGTTATAAATTCATGTACAGGTTTTTGTAAGGATGTGTTTTCATTTCTTTTTTTCTTGGTAGATTCCTAGTAATGGACTTGCTGGGTCATTGGTAATAATTTCCAAAGCAGGGGCACAAATCTTTAGTTTGGTGGAAAGAATCTTCAGGTGTAACCAGGATGTTTTTAGATGTTAATGATTGCTTTCTAAACATTTTCATTAAATGGATTTCTTAAGTCGTCATTTTTTGGCCATGGATCTCTTGGGATGAAAGATGGACATTCATGGTATATGGTAGCCTTGTCATGGTAGGTTGCACTGGCACATTTTTATCAAATAAAATTTTTGTGTCTTTCAGTAAAAATGTGCCCTTTAAAATTGTCCGTGCCTCCAATGGAGATGCCTGGGTCGAAGCTCACGGAAAACTCTATTCTCCAAGTCAGATTGGAGCATTTGTGTTGATGAAAATGAAAGAGACTGCAGGTGAGAAGGTTTGGTTCCTATCTGTCAAGTTTGAAGAACTGGATGGTTCCTAACTTATATACTCCAGTGTCCCTTGTGTGAGTCTGGGGTGAATATTATGCAGAAAACCTAGGATTGGCAAAACTTTGTTACTCTTCACATTTTCCCTACATACTGAATTTGTCCTCAAAGTTTTCCTAACAGGGCTTATTTATCTTCTCCAATATAGAGGAGTGGTGTTCTGTATTGAAAGCTGAAAGACTACATATTAACCTTTTGGCTCTCTTGGTAAAACTTCGTATTTGGAGAAATTCGTGGCTATTTTAAGTCTAAGAATAGGTCGTTATAGCTGCTGAACCTTCACTATAATGTTAAGGGTGAGATCTTGGGTTTTCAACCATTGATTTAATTGGAGCATTTTCCTACAGGGTTTCTCTGTGTTAGGTCACATGCAGAAAAAAACTGATGAGCACTGTCTGTGGCTCCAGGATGACGACCCAGGTTGTTAGGCTACATTAGTA